CCGGAGGCTCCCCGGCATCCCTCCCTCCCTCCGGTCGGCGGTTTTTTCGCGTTTTTGACATCCAGCCTCAAGAACTGAGGTGTGGGTAGCCGGCGCGGGGGGTCTGGGGCTCCCCCGTCCCCCTCCCGGGGAGGGGGGAGCTGCGCAGACAGCGGCGCGGCAGTGTGTGACGTCACACTAGTTTGCTTGTTTTCGGTTGGGGAGTTCTATCCACTAGTTCGGTTTTTGGTAGCAATTTTAACCAGAATAGGGGTTTGTTTTGGGGCGCTTACCTTTCTGGGTGCCTGTTCCGGTCGATGGCAGACATAGAATGCTTCCAACTACACGGGGGCTTCTATAGGCCATTGCTCCCCTTGCCTCTCTGAGGGGGCCCGGTTCTGGCCGTGGTCCCCGGTAGGCCTAAGAACTCCATACACATGACTGATGCCAAAGTCTGACATTAGCATATCAGCCTGGGATAGCTCCGGGGAGCCTCCGGGACTCACCCAGAAAATGGCGTTTCATTACATTCAACGCTGGTTTTTTTGTGAAGATCAGATCTAGAATATTTTCAGTCCTAGTTGGCTTGGTTATCTGCTGGTTAAGCAGAAAATGTTATATTATTATTGTTTGCTATTCTTCTTCTTAGACTGGGCAGGTTGAAGTCTCCTAGGAAGATAATATCTGGTATTGGATTTATCAGATTATCAAGGCTATTCTCTATTTTGCTTAGCTGTTCTGTGAATTCCTCAACTGTTGCAGCTGAAGGTTTGTATATTAGAATAAAAACTAACATGTGCACATATGCTACATACAAGCCAACTGACTGGCATATATATATATATATATACTGTATATTACTACATTGATGGTAGTAATTACAAAAAAAATATGCAAGCACCACCAGTGCTGCAACCTCCACTGTAACCTCTCTTATACCCTGTAGGAAATCACCTGGACACATGGTATCTCTTTCTTAGAACTCTAAACATCACATGAGTAGGAACTCCAGCTCAGCACATATCTGCTGTCATGAATTCACTTCCACTGCCTAGTCTACAGGTGGTCTCCTCTCTATGTCCTTGAGTGTCCTCTCTCAATCTTTATCTCATTATCAGTCCTCATTTAATTTTATTTTAACCTCTCATTACTAGTAGGCAGAAAAATGTTATTGCCTTTTACAGAACTTCACAGAGGCAAGAAGAAAAGCATTTAAACAAACTAACATTTAATAAACCAAAGAAATACACAAAAATGATAAATTAGGTAAGGTCCTTGAATCAACCCTTCGATGCTCTACTGCAGCCTCATCTCCTCATCTCCATAACATATGTCGAATATCTTAATTCACCTCTACACATACACATGTATTTCCTCAAATATCGGGGTAGGCTCCTGCTCTTATAAAAATATGTACTTGTTTGTTACAATTACTTACCAATATAAACATATATGTAAATCTGTGTACAGTTATGTTTACCTGGCACATTATAAGAAACATCCATGTTCTCTCCTATGGCATTCCCCACAATCTGTTAGTCATATCAGCAAATTTACTCATGAAAAAATAGCTTTATATTTTACAATGCAGTATAATATGTACTGGGCGCAATAATGTGGAAGATACACACCATAGCAAATAGCCAATGTCTTGACAAACACTGTCCATTCTTGGCATTTAATGGTGATGAATTATACCTCAGAACACTAGGCTGTCCACCCTACAGTCCTGTTTAATCTGGCTAGATGTAGGTTTGATAAGCACAAGTAATGTTTGCAACAATAAAATTAATCTCGCACCTCCATCCACTGCATTAGTCACACAAACACAAATGTTGTTCAAACAACCAAACACAAAAAATGATCATGATGAATATAGGCAGATCTATCCACTAATGGGGTGGCTCTCATTCACTGGTGACACTCAAAGTATGCATTGTTGCACCTCGTCTGGGTCATCATTTGTCGATCTCTCTTCCCAGCTAGTACACTTCATGCAGTTGTTTATACATCAAATAATACTCCTCCAGAAATGATGAAAATTAAAAATTAATCAAATAATGTCTTCACTATTTCCCTGCCGGACACCACTGCTAGCGATGTTTGGCAAACCCCCCCCTCCCCCCACCAAGCTCTCACTTCCTCCTGTTCAAACCCTCTTTCAGTTGCTCTCAAGCCTCCACTGAGCTTGCACACATTGCTCCCCTCTCTGGCAATGACATCTTAATGTCTGTCTCCCCCATATTAATACTTCCCCACTACAGTACATACATTAGTCAAGCAATATCTCTGCCAATCAAAGACTTTCGGCTCTTGCCATGTCACGGCCCTGCCCCTCTCCTGTTGGCTAATGGTGACATCATCCATCCCTTTCCTCCTCCAGAGTGTCTTCTGCTGTCACCATCTTTCTTTTAAGTTGAGAAGTGCTCTATGATAAACAATGCCTCAAACCAGGCCTCCTCTTCTCCAGACAAACTCTGGTTTACCCTGTAAACTCTCTTACACCTCCAGCATCAGTTAAGAGTATGAACGAGGAATAAGTCTCATACCAGGAAAGGATGTACTGTATGTTATGAGGTGACCGAGGTTCATAACAATATGTAATTTTAAAATGAATTAGAAATTAGTTTATCACTGCACTGCGCAGTGTCTCAAGGCACCTGATTGGGGGTCCGCAGAGTGCCACATGGTGTTTTTAGGTATAGGTAGCGATTCAAAACTCATGCAGCTTCATGGGGCTCACATCCTGTGCCTCACCTGTAAACAAACGCCATCTTGAAAAAATTGTCGGCATCCGTACTGACTGTGAGAGCTTCATTACTGTATTGAGAGAGTGACCAGGGCTGGCGCTTGTAGGTTCCTGGTGAACTGGCTGAATTCCCAGTTGGTTCTATCCTAGGTTCAGACCTGGGTGGGCCTTGGGTGGGATTCTCGGATTGTGTCCCTCTCTCTCCCACAGGCGGCTTTGCTCCAGTTGCAGAAGAGATTGGGTTGTTCAGCCTTAGGCTGTTTTTGAGGGGGACCCGGGTCACTCACTGGTTTCTTGAGCAGCTGTGCAGGAGCCTGAACTTTGTTTTGCTGGTTTATCCACTGGGCAGGGTTTGACTTCTGAGGCTGTTCTGGTATCTTTGGGGTGGCCTCTTGTTGCTGTCACAATCACTGGGTTCGTTCCCCGGTGTCTTTGCACCAGTTGCTGCATTATGGGCTTCCTCTTAGGGGTTTTTGGGGTTTGGTGCCATGGCGCCTTCCTCTTCCCTCGCTCAATGTGTTCTTGGACGTCTCGTCTCTCGGTTGGGGCTTTGTGACCAGTGCTCACCAGTCCGGCCATGGGCATTGGGGATTGGAGCTGACCTTAGAGCTGACAGCATGTGTGAGAGTTTGTGGCTGTGTGACAGGCACTGCTGCGGATTTGGCTTCCTTGGAGCCCTGTGATCCTGCTCCATTCAAACTGCTTTCCTGTAGTTCATTGTCTCAACTTGGGAGGGTCTCTTTGGTCCATGGCTCTTTGGGGCTAGTCACTCCGAGTGGCTCTTCTGCTGAGTTCTCGTGGTTTAGCTCTCCATGCAGTTCACATTCAAGGAATGTTTAACATCCTGGCAGATGGCCTGTCTCACTTCATTCCTCTTTCCACGGAGTATACGATCAACACCGCTTCCTTCCTTTGGCTTTGTCAGATGTACAGGTGCCCAGAGATGGACCTCTTCACGTCAGCGTGGTCTAGGCATCTCCCCTTGTATGTAGCGTCATTCCCCAACTGCGAGGCTTTTGTGGTGGATGCTTTTTGGCAGGACTGGTAGAGGTGGGGGTTCCCGTACCTCTTTCCCCCAGTCCAATTGTTGCTTTGGGTTCTGGCTCAGCTGGAATCTTTTCGGGTGAGAGCTCTTCTCCTGGCCCCCATGGTGGGCGGCCCAGCCTTGGGTTCAGGTGCTGCATGCTCGGTGTTCGAACCATGGAATTTTTCAGTGGCTCCACCTTCTTCGGCAGGTCGGGCTGGTGAGGTACCTTGCTGATTCGCCTTACTGCTCTGCAATATGCATCTGGCATTTCTGGTTCATGTGTATCGCCATTTGTATGGTGATCAGGTGGCTTCTTTGATGGTATCCCACCTGCAGTCTTCGTCTCAGTATGAAGTTTCTTGGAGGTCGTTGTCATTTTCTTTCTTTTAGTCGGTTTTTATCTGTTTCATTCCAAGTTGTCTTGTCCTTTTTTTCTTGTCTTTTTCTGGTTTGGCATCTCATGCTAAATACTGTCACTTCTTATCGTGTGCTGTTGGCGGAGCCGCTGTAGCTTGCATTTGGGGTGGATGTCACTTCTGCCTTGTTTCGCAAGTTTTCTCATGCATTTTTTCACCTTCAGCCTGCTCATGCACTGCCTGAGCTTGCTTGGTCTTTGAACCGGGTTCTTGTTTTCTTTCGTCTCCTCGGTTTGTGGTTGCCCCTTTGGTTCATAATTGTTTTTGGAAGGTTGTGTATTTGTTGGCCAAGGCCAACAAAAACATGACTACCAGTAAAAACACAACTACTGTATCAACAAAAAAACAACTTTTTGTTTGTAGTCGGGTTGGGGAGCTTCATGCTCTTCTCTGGCGCTGGGAGTTTTGTTTCTTTGGTCCTGGTGGTAGATTTGTTCGTTTGCAGCCATCCCCTTCTTTTCTGGAGAAGAAAGAGACTGCGGGTTTCTGGTAGGGTCCTATGGTGGTGGATGCTTGGTTGGTTAGGCTGGGGGTGCATCATGTTCTGTGTCCGGTAGCTGCTTTATGTTGCTACCTGCGGATCACCGGTTCTGTGTCAGTGGATGGTCTATGGGTTGATTTGGTTTTCCCCTGGTTCCCTGTTCCAGGGCTCATCTTTCTCAGGTTGTCCGCAATATCATTAAGTCTAGCCTGCCTGTGGTCTTTCCTCGTACCCATGATGTATGTAAGTATATTAATATTGAATATTAAAACAAATCAATACATGAATTTAATATGAAAGTTATTTCCCACATTAATTTAGTTGAATCCTCCCTTTGAATGGTTTCAGCAAGAAAGATGTGGCTATGCTGCCACGATTGGTTCCCAATATCCAGCTGCTGCTCAGTGACGAGGCAGTTGCTGTTGTGAAACGTGTCATCCAGGCAGTTGCCCAGCTTCACCGAGCCACCCTGGCCTGGCTCTCTTCAGCACGCTCTACATCGTCTGAGATGGAGCAAGTTTGGCAAATTATCACACTAATTAAAACTACAATTATCACCATGATTGATCATGATAATGATGGGTAAGTGTGTTTTAAATTTGTTTATTTCTTACAATCTGAGAATTTTTGGTCAACTTGAGGCAAATTTCAATATCATAATAGTTTGTTGAAAGTTTATAATCAGAAGTTAATTTAAATCATGCTATTTTTTGAATATGGAATTTAAGTTCATTTGTTGACTGCAAATCAAAGTGAAAACTTTACTACTCTATGCCAGTACAGTATACACTTCTCTTTCTTCTGATCCTTTTTATTCTCATTCATGTTTACATTCAAAATTTTAGCTGTATGGGGAGATTATTATTTCTGTATTGTGTATCTTTTGTTGTGATAGGCATGTAGGAGACCTGAATTACCATGAGTAGAACAGACAAATGAAATGAGCTTTACATTATCAGTGATGTCTGATGCGTACTTAAAGCACTCGCAAACTCTAACACAGATATGGAAATTTAGATCTGGTAGAGTCCCAATTCTCAAACAGAGGAAAACATGCTACACATGTACATGGTATTAACAATTTTAGAGGCTTATTAGTATCTACTGTAGGATAAAAACCCACACTATGTATTTATGAATTTATGTAAAGATTTACAACAAGTCTTTCGTACTCTCCTGAGTGCGTTGCCAAGGTCTGAGTATGTGGTTAGGATGAGACTTGCTTCTCAACGACTAATCATTAAGTAGTCATTGTAGGGGGAGGGGGGACAGAAGTCACTTCTGTACTGCCTTCATTATGCCATGAAAATTTATAATGTAATGCAAACTCGTTTATAGTAATATTAAGCTGTACTTTTTTGTTGCAGGGTGAGGACACAGGCTATTAAGTTTCTTGAGGCACTGGTACTTCTACAGACGTACACAGAATCTGATTCAATAACGCGTGATGGAGAATTCAATTTGGATCAGGTTCCTCTCACTCTCAAAGTTGCACGACCCAGGAAACTGGAGGAGGAAGCACGGTAAAAGATTTTTAAATTTTATACTGTTTTAATATACTTTGAATGATATACTTCGAATAATATACTTTGTCCTCAAATATTTGGAATTTATTTCTCCAGATTCCTGAAAGATTTTTCATTAATTCTGAACTTTGAGAAATTTCATATTTATATTAGTTCTAGGAGGGTTCCTAATGGTGGCTCCTTGGTGCTAGCTACCTGGATAGCTTCACCCATCTAAGTTATTGGGGCCGCTTAAAAGTTCTAGGTTTGTATTCCCTAGACCGCATGCGAGAGAGAATCAATGAATCTGATGACTTTAGAGCTGATTAGCAGGGGCAGGAAGCATGGGGTAAGGATGCAGGAACACTTGAGCAGGGATTAGGATATAAGGTTGGGGAGGGGTGGTACAGGGTAGTGGCCCAACCACGTGTGTTGTGCTTTCATTTTTTCTGGGGGGAGCCCCGTCGGCTCCCCGGAGCTATCCAGGCTGAATGAATATGTATAACTTTCTGGCATCAGTCAATGCATGGAGTTCTTGCCTACCGGGGACCACGAGCCAGAACCTGGCCCCCTCTAGAGAGGCATAAGGAGCAATGGCCTATAGAGACCCCCTCTTTGTTATTGGGAGCATTCTATGTCTGCCATCGACCGGGATAGGCACCCAGAAAGGTAGGCGCCCCAAAACAAACTATTCTGGTAAAACTATTGCGACCAAAGACCGAACAAGTGGACAGAACTCCCCAAACGAAAACTAGCAACAAGCATGATGGCATTACGTTGCCGCGCCGCTGTCTGCACAAACCCCCCCCTCCTCGGGAGGGGGAAGGGGCAGCCCCAGACCTAACTGCTGACGACCCACCCTCCAGTTTTTGGCTGATGGGAGTCTGGTGCGGTCGTGTCTCTGGCTCCAGTGTTTTGTTACAGTTTTGTGCCTTGTGGTGTGAGCTGTCCCTTCTGGTGGTGTGTGGGCCAGGAGTGATACCCTACGGTACTCGGGCTGCATGCGCCTAGGGTTTCCTTCCCTAGGTGCCCTGTAAGTACTGCCCTTGGGGCTTGGGGCCACCTTTTAAATTGCTTCCTGTGCCTCTCAGAGGGAACCAGGTTCTGGCTCATGGTACCCACTAGGCATAAGGACTTCCGTGACTGATGACCCAAACTAATATAGCACAATCAGTTTGGATAGCTTCAAGGAGCCTCTGGGGCTCGCCCAGAAAATGGTGTTTCATTACATTCCACGCTGTTTTTTTTTTTCTGGGGGGAGCCCCGTCGGCTGGAGCTTTACCGGCTGATATGCTAATGTCAGACTTTGGCATCAGTCATGTGTATGGAGTTCTAGGGCCTACCGGGGACCACGGCCAGAACCTGGCCCCCTCAGAGAGGCAAGGGGAGCAATGGCCTATAGAAACCCCCGTGTGGTAGGAAGCATTCTATGTCTGCCATCGACCGGGTCAAGCATCCAGAAAGGTAAGCATTCCAAAACAAACCTCTATTCTGGTGAAAATTGCTACCTAAAGCCGAACTAGTGGATAGAACTCTTCAACAGAAAACAAGGAAACTAGTATGACATCATACGTCGCCGCGCCGCTGTCTGCGCAGCTCCCACCTCCCCGGGAGGGGGAAGGGGGAGCCCCAGACCTCCCACGCCGGCTATCCACCCATCAGTTCTTCGGCTGATGCTATAGGCACCGGTTATGTGCTCCGGCTCCAGTGGTTGTTTCAGCACTGTACCTAGAGTGTGGTGTCTGTTTTCTAGGTGGTGCGTGAGCCGGGAGTGATTCTCCAGTACTCGGGCTGCATGCGCCTAGGGTTCCCTTCCCTAGGTGCCCTGTAAGTACTGCCCTTGGGGCTTGGGGCCACCTTCCACAAGTTCCTTGGGTCCTGCCCCTGCTTGGCTGTTTACTGCTTGGTTTTTGGCCGCTCTTTGTGTGCTCGGGTGTTCTGTCTCCCTTGTTCGCCTTAGAATAAGGGGCAGTGTTGCACTGGTGGGGCGCAGGGTACTGTGCAGCTTGTCTTTACCAATCATAGCGGCCGGCTCTGTTCCGCTTGGGTACGCTGTCCTCTTGCGGGGTTTTCTTTTTCTTTTTGTTTATCTACCTGGTGGGGAGGGTCTGCCTTCGTTCTTGCCCCTTGTGTCCCTTGTGTTCTGAGTATTTTCTGGTGGTACCCCCTGCTAGGTCACCGTGAGTGTACACGTCCCGGGGGTTCAGCTCTTAGAAAGTTGTTTGGTAGCTTTGGGTGCCGGTTAGCAGTACCCTGCCTGGGATTACCTGAGCGCGAGTCCTCTTATAGTAAACGCTCGGGACCCTGGGAAACCCCTGGGGGCGCGTGGGTCCGATGGATGTGACCCCAGAGTCCCCCCCCCCTCGCTTCTAGCGAGTTTGAGGGTTGCTCTCACCCTTTGTCTCTGGGTGACTCTTTGTTTTGCCTCCGTCTGCTGCCTGTGGGGTCGGTGACACCTTCGACCCGGAGTCCTGCGAGTTTGGTTGCTCGTTGTGGCTCGGTTACCCAGTTGTGCTGACAAAGCGGGTGCGGGCAGCAGGGGCGTTGCACTTGAACCTTGGTGGTGGCAACGTTCTCATGGTTTCCTCCCCGGGAGCCCCGGGGCTGCCCCGTTGTAGTTCGTTTGGGGACTTGGGGGTGTTGGTTGCTTCGGTTCCATCCACACCCTCTAGTCTTTTCCCTGGATCACCCTTCGTGCCCGCATCCGGTTCCTTACCGTCTGTAGGTTCGGGGTGGGGTTTTTGATGGTGTTGAGACTCGGGCAGTCTCGGGGAATTCCCCTTCCAGGGTTGTGACGGGGGCATTTGAGCCTGTTCCTCCAGCCGTGTTGTATGAGTCTGCCAGTGGGCTCCCTTCCTTAGTGTTTTCATGGCTGCCCCGGTTTTCTGGTACGGCCGGGGCTTTGGGAGAATGGCTTGGCCCCGGGGCCTGTCATGTAGGTTCCCAGGGCTGGGGAGGGGCTGACTTGGGGGGCCTTGGCCCCATTGGACCCCGTGGGGGGTTTTATCCACCCTCTAGGCGGGGCTTGTGGTTACGCGGAGTGGGGTCTTTCCTCGCCACTCGCCGTACGTGCTGTTGGGCGTCGGCCCCTCCCCGGGCTCGGTTCCTTGGCCTTTGAGTCGGTTGGTTCCGTCCTGTGGGTGGATGTTTCCTCCCACCCTTTTTTGGGACTGTGTTTTCGTCATGTTTCCCCGTTCGATGGGGTTCTACGTGACTTCCGATCTCGGGTGCGCCTGCGCCTTTGTGTGCCTTCGGGACTAGTGTTGGTTTCTGTGTTCTCGAGGGTTCGGGAAATATTTTCGCTCCTTCCCGCATTATTGGAACGTCTGTCGGCTCCTCGTCCTTGTCGCCGTTTTGGGCTACTTGTGGCCCGGTTGGGCTGCTTGTGAGCCGGTTGGGCTACTTGTCGCCCTGTTGGGCTACTTGTCGCCCTGTTGGGCTACTTGTCGCCCGGTTGGGTTCCTTTTTGAGCTCTTTGCTTCTTTGGCCGGTTTTATTGTTCCTGCTTCCTCTTTTGGCTACTTTTCTAGTGCAGTAGTCCTGTTGGCGCCTTCCTGCAGAGAGGGTTGTGCGCGGTTCGGCCAGCGTGTCATGCGCATGCGCCGTGGAGTTTGTTTTGGTCTGGGCGGTGTTTCAGTGCGGGTGTTTTGCGCCCTTTTTGCTACGGTGCTTCGCCTCTCGTTCTTCTCCCTGGCTGCGGTATGTTCCCCTTCGCTCCGGGGGTGTCCTGGTTCCCTGTTGTGGGGAGGACACCGTGGTTTTCCCTGTGTCAGGGGTGTGGCCCGCCTCCTTCACCTCTCCCTGCTCTCCTGCGGGTCCGGCAGGGTCCGGCTCTGGCGTCTTCACCTGGGGTGCTCCCAGGTTCTTCTGGGCACGGTTGAGTCGTGTCAAGTTTGTGCCACTGTTCGCCAGGTGAGTTTCTGCGGTCTGGCGTATTTTGGTCGGGCGCTTGATGCGATGTTGTTTATATACCTGTCTATTTAGGTATATTTTACAGTACGACTGAGACCGTTCGCACACCAGTGACTGTCCCTTTTTCAACCCTTCCTGTCCCCCTCATGTGCATATCCAACCCATGCTGGAGTCATTCAGGGGACCCTCCTTTTTTAATGTTGTGAGGTGTGGGGGTTGTAGGGTTGGTTCTGTACTCACCTGGTAAGGCTCCTGGCTATGCTTGCAGGGTTTGAGCTCTGGCTCTTGGGTCCCGCTTATCTGGTAGAACTTGCGGGTTAGTACCAGTGGAGTGCAGTGGTGCTATTGGCACAAATGGGGAACACTGTATTACCATCAGAGGTCTGTGCTTGTTACACGACCTACTTGCAAGCATAAGCCTTCTTGCTGGTTCGTCCGTGGACTTCCAGGGCACACTAGCCTGTTTTCGTATAGCAGTTCCGGCCCATCCTGGTTGTGGGGGTATGTGGGCTGGCGGGCCGCTCCTAGCAGCTGCCTGGTGGGCCACCCTCTGGCCGGTCTAGCCTGGCCTTGGGCCGGGCTTGGGGTGTAAAAGAGCTCCCAGTACCCCATCCAGCAGGTATCGAGCGGGGTTTCTCCGCCATCGGTCGCCTGGTGAAGGTTTCTGGGCCTACTGGGTTTTGTCGTGTCTCCGTTGGCCCTGTCTGGGGTCTGCCTGCTCTGTTTCTCTGCCTTTGCAGAAGGGAGTTGCTATTTACATGTTGCATGTTGCGGTGGTGCCTGTTGCTGCTGCTGCACGTGTGCATTGGTACCATGTTTCACGGTGGCGTGTCCTTGTTCCTGTGTCCGGTTGTGGTGTGGCACTTTGCTGCTGTTTTGTGCCTGGGGATTGCGTGGGAGTTTTCTGTCCCTGCCTGATTGTCCACCCCTGGTTGTTTTCCTGGGGTTTTTGTGCTTCTGCTCTTTCTTCCTGCCTCTGCAGCAGGGGTGTTCTGCGTGTGTTGGGCATTTTTCAGCCTGTGTTCTGTGATGTGCTTCTTTGTCTCGGTCTATTGCAGTTATTCGTACCCCTTGGTTCGGGTACTGTTCTGGCGGCGACCCTTCCGCCTTCTTTGGTTTCCTAGCTTGCCCTGCCTTTTTTTTTTTTTTTTTTTTTTTTTTTTTTGGGTCTTGCGATGTCTTGCGTCGGACCTGTCGTTTCTGAACTCCTGGCGGGCTTGCATGCTTTGGGGAGTTTTTCTGTTCGGCAGACGTTCCATCTCCTTGTGCCGCCTGGGTATCGGTGGTCGCGCCCGAGATCTTCCCGCGGCTCTGCCTTTTTCCTGGGCTCGGAGGGGCCTTGTCGGGGCTGCTTATGTTCTGCCTCGCGGTCTCGCCTCCGGTTGTGGTCGGGTGGCTTCGTGGTAGGTGTCCCACCTGCGTGCTTCTCTTAGCGGCAGTATGGGGTATTTTGGCAGTCCTTCCTTTTCCTGTCCCTTCTTAGGTGGTTACTCTTGTTAGCTTTGTTTACTCTCGGCTTGATTTTCTGGTGGGGGTTGGGGGCCGTCGTCTTGCCACATACTGTCGCCTCTTTTCGTGCGGCGCTGGCGAAGTCGCTTCAGCTTGCTTTCGGTCTTGGTGTTGCTTCTGCACCGTTAGTAAGCTGTCTTGTGCGTCGTTTCACCTCCGGCCTGTTCGTGCGCCGCTTGCACCATCCTGGTCTCTGGTCAGCGTGCTGTCTTCTCCTCGGTTGGTAGTGCCCCTTCGGTTCCGGTGTGCCTTCCCTAGGTGCCCTGTAAGTTTTTTCATCAGCTCTTTCCTTTTGGCCTTTGCCTCTGGGGGTCAAGTCGCTGAGTTTTCTTGCTCCTTCAGTTTTAGCGTTTTGGTTGTTCGGTGGCAGCAGTCTTCATCTTTTCTGGCGCGGGGTGGGGCTGCTGCGTTCTGGAGGAGTCCAGGGTTTGTTGGTGCTTCGTTGGTCGGGCCGGGGGTGTGTCGTGTTTTGTGTTCAGTGGCGGCCCTCCGCTGTTGTTTGTGTGCCACGGCGTTTGGGTCCGGAGCGCGTTTTGCGTTGATCCGGTTCTGTTCTTCCCAGTTCGCGGGTGATGGTGTCCCGGGTGGTCAGCCGTGTTCTTGCGGCTAAGCTGCCTGTGTTCTTTCCTCATGCCTGTGGCGTTCGTGGCTTCGCTGCTCTCGCTGCCGTCTGGGCGACGTGGCCTTGCGGTCTTTCGGGCATGGATTTTTGGTGTTCGTGCGGGGGCCGTGCTGCTCGTTGTTCTCATGTTGTTCCCGGGACTTTTCGGGGCTGTGGCACCTTGGGTTGGCGTTTGCTGCCGGTTGTCTCGCTTCCGTGGGGGGTGCGTGGTGTCCGCCTCCCAGTTCTGTCCCTTTGACCTTCCTCTGTGGGTAGTTAGCTCCGGGGAGCCGACGGGGCTCCCCCCAGAAAACCAGTGTTGAATGTAATGAAACACCATTTTCTGGGTGAGACCCGGAGGCTCCCCGGCAACCCTCCCTCCCTCCGGTTGGCGGTTTTTTGCGTGTTTTGACATCCAGCCTCAGAATTGATGGGTGGATAGCCGGCGTGGGAGGTCTGGGTCTCCCCCTTCCCCCTCCCGGGGAGGGGGGAGCTGCGCAGACACCGGCGCAGTGACGTCATACTAGTTTTCTTGTTTTCTGTTGAAGAGTTCTATCCACTAGTTCGGCTTTAGGTAGCAATTTTCACCAGAATAGGGGTTTGTTTTGGAATGCTTACCTTTCTGGATGCTTGACCCGGTCGATGGCAGACATAGAATGCTTCCTACCACACAGGGGTTTCTATAGGCCATTGCTCCCCTTGCCTCTCTGAGGGGGCCAGGTTCTGGCCGTGGTCCCCGGTAGGCCCTAGAACTCCATACACATGACTGATGCCAAAGTCTGACATTAGCATATCAGCCGATAAAGCTCCGGGCAGCCTCCAGGTCTCGCCCAGAAAATGGCGTTTCATTACATTCAACGCTGGGTTTTTTTTGAGAGAGAGAATATTCATAGTAAAATTGTTGTATTGTGAGCAATGTCTGTTGCCTGGTATAGGGATGGGATATATTTCTTGATAAACTGCTATCAAAACATAAATAGTTGGATAATACTGTACTTATGTTTTAAGTCAAGTCAATTTTTATTTTTTGTTTTGTCGTGCAGGATGGTGCTGAACAAGTTGTTAGGCTTTCAAGGATCTATTCACATCAGCTCGGTGAACTTAATGACCTGCATGTCATCGCTCACCATCATTGCTCGAGCACGGCCCCAGTTCCTTGGCAAAATTATCAATGCCCTGGAAATTCTGCATGGTTAGTTTCCATTAAAATTGTTTCATTTATTTTGAGATTATTTTGGACACTGTAAGATGGTGAAAGTATTTAAACTAAAGTTATGATTTACAGTACGTTTGATATACGTACAGTAGACCTCTGATTGTATTGCACAGTTATTGAATGCATTCTGTTTAGCAAAAAAATTAAAACCATAATAATATTGTCTAGTAGGATTATTAAAACCATTAAAACATTGTATGGAATAAACATTTATTCAATGTGATCAAATGTAGTAATAATTAATGTTTTTTCTCTTGCACGACAATAAATCATATTTTCAAAACCAACCTTATTAGTAGGATAATAAAAATTACTTCAGTGTACATTTGACATTCAAGTTTTTCAGGCCAACCTTCTTTGTGAATTTGTAAACTTAGGATTTTGTACGTAGATTTATAATTTAACCTTACTGTTTCATTAACCAAATTACTGTATTTACGTATTTTCTTTTACATATGTTCTTGTGGGGGAAAGCCTTGGAGGCTCCCTGAAACTAGATTGCTAGTATATCTTCCCAATACTTAGCCACATCAGTCATAGACATTTTATTGATCTACTGGAGAGCCAGAACTTGGCTCCTCGAGAGGTACAGGGAGTAGAGGAGTGTTACAATCTCTCCTCACCAAGAAAGCACCCAGAAAACAGATGAAACAATACAAAACAGCTGCTTGGTTCATGGAAATAAACCACTGAAACGGCTAACATCACAAAAGAATTGCTTAAAACAAAATTATTCATATGAAACTGGGTACAAAACTACCCCAGATTATGTGGCATGTGCCAAGCCGATGGCCAGGTTGTCACCCCCAGATCCCACTTTGTCTTGATTTTGGTTTGTGAGGGTTCACTGCTCACCTTCCCTAGCCTGCCAGTTATTAAAGTTTCTGCTTCTTCAATAAGATGAGTGCTGGCCATCCTTAGGATTGCCTTGTTGCTAGCATATATTTCCTAGTTTTGGGGTTTGCTTCTCAAGCGTGTTTTCAAGCTACACTGGCCCCTGCATGACCAAAGTTGCTTTCTCTGGTGTGTTCAGGAGTTTGTCCCTGAGGTGCTAGGTCGCTGTGGTGGTGAGCCTCTCCCTAAGGTAGCGTGCAAGTCTTTGACTACTATTCAAAACCTTCTAGTTGGGGGGGTATAATTCTTTTCTGAGGGGGAGCCATATTATAAAGAATATTCATAAAGAAATGCAAAGTACCAATAGCGCGAGCACTCAGTGTAATAGGGAGAAAGAGCCTGGATACAGGGGAGATACCAGGTGCACTTAAATCTGCAGATATAGCTCCTCTGCACAAGGGGGGTAGTAAAGCCTTGGCAAAAAATTATAGACCAGTTGCACTAACATCACACATAATAAAAGTGTTTGAAAGAGTGATTAGGATTCAAATTTCTAGTTTTATGGAAAATAATGAGCTACACAATCCAGGACAACATGGATTTAGAGCGGGAAGATCCTTCTGTCACAGTTTCTCAACCACTCAAAAATCACAGTTACTCAAAATCACAGAAGCTCTAGAAGAAAAGCAAAATGCAGTTGTTGTATACAAAGACTTTGCAAACACATTTGCAGACTTTGGATCACATTTGTCGAACGTAAAGGCGTTCGACAAATGTGATCATGGAATGATAGCACACAAAATGAGGTCAATGGGAATAACTGGTAAAGTAGGACGCTGGATACTCAATTTCCTGTCGAACAGAATAAAGAGTAACGGTCAATCAAATAAAATTTAGTCCAAGCGCAGTTAAAAGCTCTGTACCTCAAGGTACAGTCCTTGTACCGCTACTGTTCCTTATTCTCATATCAGATATAGATAAAAATACAAGTCACAGCTTCGTGTCATTCTTTGCAGATGACACAAAAATCAGCATGAAAATTACCTCTGCTGAAGACATTGAAAAATTACAAGCAGATATCAACAAAGTTTTTGATTGGGCAGCAGAAAATAACATGATGTTTAACAGTGATAAATTTCAGGTACAGGTACTCAGGTACGTCAAAAATGAGGATCTTTAACATAATACAGGGTACAAAACACAATCGAATCTGCCCATAGTAGGAAAACAGCATGTCAAGGATTTGGGAATAATGATGTCCAACGATCTAACGTTTAGGGAGCATAACCAAGGAAATATTGTGCAGCCGGGAAAATGATAGGATGGATTACGAGAACTTTCAAATCCAGGGATCCCATCACAATGGTTATACTCTTCAAGTCACTTGCGTTGTCCCGTCTCGAGTACTGCTCAGTACTCATTTCCCCCTTTAGAGCAGGAGAGATTGCTGAAATAGAGGGAATACAGAGGACATATATGGCACGCATAAATGAGATAAAACACCTAAATTATTGGGATCGTCTCAAAGCTCTCCAAATGTACTCTCTAGAAAGGAGACGAGAGAGATACCAAATAATATACACATGGAAAATACTGGAGGGCCAGGTCCCAAATCTACACAGTAAAATAACAACATACTGGAGTGAACGATATGGAAGAAAATGCTGGATTGAAGCAGTGAAGAGCAGAGGTGCCATAGGCACAATCAGAGAACACTGTATAAACATCAGAGGTCCACGGTTGTTCAACACCCTCCCAGCGAGCATAAGAAATTTTGACGGAACAACCGTGGACATCTTCAAGAGAAAACTGGACTGTTTTCTAAGAGAAGTTTCTGTGGTGGGTATGTGGGCCTGTGGGCCGCTCCAAGCAACAGCCTGGTGGACCAAACTCTCCCAAGTCGAGCCTGGCCTCGGGCCGGGCTTGGGGAGTAGAAGAACTCCCAGAACCCCATCAAGCAGGAGCCCCTACGGCTTCCTGGACCTATCCAGCTGATATGGATACCCTAACTATTTTGCATCAGTCATTGTGGGTGGAGTTCTAGGCCTACCGGGGACCACGAGCCAGAACCTGGCCCCCCTCACAGAGGCCCGAGGAGCAGTGGCTCATAGAAATGCATGTGATTTGAAGCATTCTATATCTGCCATCGACCGGGACAGGCACCCAGAAAGGTAAGCGCCAAAAAACAAACCCTTTTCTGGTTAAAACAACGAAAATCACCAATGAGTGGACAGAACTCCCCAAAAGAAAAACGACCAAACAAGCACGATGTCACCAGAGCCACGCTGCATGTCTGCGCAGCTCCCACCGTCCCCCGGGAGGGGGTAGGGGGAGCCCCAGACCCCCACGCCGGGGATCCACCCTTCAGTTCCTTGGCTGATGGGATCGTGCACAGTCATGTGGCTCCAGCTCCGGTCTTCTTCAGTGCTGTCATTGTTTTCAGTGCTGCTCTTACGGTGGTCGTGCGAGCTGAGAGTATTATTCTCAGGTACTCGGGCTGCATGTACTTAAGTCACCTTCCCTGAGTGCCCTGTAAGTACTGCCCTAGGGGCTTGGGGTTCTCCTCCACAAGTCACCTTGGGTCTACCTCTGTTGGCCTTTCGCTGCTTGGTGTTTTGCCGCCCCGAGTGTGTGGGGGTTCTTCCCCCTTTATTTACCATGGGGTAGGTGGTAGTTATTACACTGGTGGGGTGCTGTGTAGCTAGTTGTCACTTTGAACAGTGGCTGGCTCTGTTCTTTTCGGGTACTTTATCATCTTGCGAGGTTTTTCTTTTCTATTTGTTTTTGTCTGGTGGGGGGTCTGCCTTGTATTTCCCTTCCCCTTATATTAGGGTCATTTGTGTGGTGGCACCCCCTGCTTCGCCCTCGTGAGTGGACATGTCCCGTAAGTTCAGTTTTTAGCAGTTTGCTTGGTAGTTTGGGACGCTGGTTAGCAGTACCCTGCCTGGGATAACCCTTAGCAGACCAGCCTAGGGGTCCTGGGAAACCCCACAGGGGCACTCAGGTCTGATGGAGGAGACCCCTGCGTCCCCTCTCGCTCTGTGCGAGTTTGAGGGTTGCTCTGTTCCCTTGTTTCAGGGCGACACTCATTGTTTTTGCCTCCGTCATGCTGCTTGTTAGGTCTGTGACACATTCGACCCCGAGTCCTGCGAACTTTGTTCCTTGTTTGTGACACAATTCACCCAATCTGCAGATGATATTCTTCGGGTGCAGGCAGTACGTGCATTGCAGGATAGGTATAGGTTATTGCAACACGCTCGGCTTCCTGCCTCCCTGGACGCCCCGAGGCTTCCCCGCTTTACTTATAGGGACTCGGACTTGGGGGTGTTGGTCGCTTCGGCCTTGGTTCCGTTTGCGCCCCCTTGTTCATCCCCTTTGGTGGTTCATTCAGTCCCCCTCCCCTGCTTCTGGCCCCAAAGCGTCTGAGGGCTTCGGGGTCGGGGCAGGATTTAGAGGTCTCTGAGACTCGAGCAGTTTCGGGGGTTGCCCCGTCCAGGGTGGCTACGGGGGCATTCGAGTCGGTTCCTCCTGCCCTTGCTCCGGGGTCTGACCAGTTGGCTCCTTCTCTTCCGGAGCTTTTGGCTGCCCCGGATTTTTCTTCTGAGACTGGGGTTGGGGAGGAGCTGACTTGGGGGCTTTGGACCCCGCCTGGATTCTCAGGTCTTCTGAGCAGGGCTTACTGTTGCAAGGGGTGGGGTTTTCTTTTTCCCCTCTGCGTACGATTTGGACTTGGGTTCAGTTCCATGTCCCTGTGGATTCTTCGGTTCCGTCTTTTCGGAGGTTTTCGGCTTACTGCATCTCTCCGCCTAAGGTGCAGTCGGCTATTGCAGCTTACCTCCTGCATGACCCGGCGTATGCCTCCATAATGGATCCTTCTTTGTTCAGGTTTGGATCGTCATGTCCTTACTGGGTGCGTTATGAGGTTCCGGGGTCGTCCTGGTTTGCAGACTGCCCCTTGTTTTCGTTGGATGCTTGGGACTCATTCTGTCGGACCCCGCACGATTGAGTGGCATGAGGCGGTGACAGTGGTCCAGGTTTACCTGGGGGGGTGATTTTGGGCATCTTAATGAGTGTGTCTTCACTCCTGCCCTTTTGCGGGATGTTGGTGCGGTACAGCTGCATGTGCAGGTTCCTTCCCTGTC